TATAAAATTTTATCTGCAAAGCATTTATGTGGTCCATGTTATTACCCCCCTCCCCCTTTTACAGAAAAGGAAACAGAGGCTTGGAGAGGTTAAGGTTACAGATTTATTAAGTGGGATTGAAAATGACATAGGTCTGGTTCCAAAGTTATGTTGTTCCTTTCTGCCATATTGTTTACCTGTTTACTGATGTTACCTTATGGGCTAAGAGTCACCTGGTGACTAAATTCTATTCTAATGGACTGGTCTTCCTTTTGTCTACTGGGCATGTTTCACTCTTTTCAACTGCACTTCTGTTTGTTGTTGTTGTTTGTTTGTTTGTTTTTTGTTTTTCCTTCCCTGAGAGCCCTCCCTCAAATGTTATTCATCTTTCAGAGCTCAGCTTGATCACATGGGTGAACCCTTCCAGTCAAATCTACCCTGGGCTAATCCCTCCTGAACCTCACGTCCTTCAGCATTACTTCCTGGTACCACTCATTTGGGTTTTTAGATGTGTGCTTCCTTGCTTTGTTATTTAACTCTTACATGTGTGTCCAGTCTTCCCAACTGGATGGAAAACTCGTGGGACAGGAATCAGGTCGTCTTGTGCTTCTCTAGCCCAGAGGGGACACTCAGTGACTGTGCTGCCTCTCAGAATCCTCGTTGTTTGTAACACAAGGATGTGTAACAGTTGTATAACTTCTAAAATGCTCCTGGTACTAAGACTCTATGAAACAAGAAGAAACATCCAAGTGCTCACAGCCAGACTAGAATGTAAGAAGAAACTGCACAGTTAGACCCTGAGGTAGCTAAAAGGAGGAAACGCGGAGAATCAGCGCTGATCCCCTAAAGACTAGTGTTTTCTGGATCTTCGAGGAAGGGTGGGTGAGAGTGCCACAGAATTCTGTCTGGGTCGTGGGCATGAAGGACCGCAGCAGCATGAAGAAAGTCCTTGACCTACAAGTGCTACCCTCAGGATGGGTCATCAGGCTTCCCCCTCTGAACATCCTTCTGGTGGCGAGAAGCAGAGTCTCCAGGAAGACGGGGGGTTCTGGAGGAGCAAGGTGGTGCAGGAGGGGCCGGGGCCACTAGGAGTGGCTAAGGGGAAAATGGCATATGCATTTTTTTATCCTTTGCTTGGGTCCTGTGTGAGCCTGTCCAGAAGTGCTTCCTGGTCGCTCAGTGGAGAGCAATGGGAGGATCCATGGTGACTACTGAACTGGAAGCGACATGCTCTGATAAGTTCCTCGCGACGGGGTGTGAGAGGAACTGCTGCTGCCGCCGTCCGGAGGCGCCAAGGTGGAGACAAGCTGGGATGCAGAAGGCTTGAAATAAAATCTACCCAGAGGGAAGCCCGATGATGGTAGAACATCAGCTGCTGGAGGCAAGTAGTTGCTGACAGTTGTGTCTCTGGGCTCCACATAGCTTTTTAGCTAACTTCCTGCCCAACAGCTTGACACATCCATGGTGGACCACCTGGAGCCAGGACAGGTGACAGGAGGAGCACTTACTCCTGGCAGTGATCCCCGCTGTCCCGGCCTTTGATTGGCTCCAGCCGTGCAAACTTGCTGCGGTGCTGATTCAAAAATGAGATGAGATTGTGCATGTTGAGCTTCCCAGTGATGTATGTCTTGAGTGTGTATAATGATATCCTTGCGAGAGAGAGAAGAGACAAAGGAACAGAATAGTGTAAACCAACTGATCGTCCAGGGAACTGGACGATTTTCTAGCTCAGGCTAGAAAAGCCCAAAGGCGAACAAGAAGGGTGAGGCTTCAGGGCAGTGTCCTGCTCTTGAGCAGCTCTGGAAGAACAAGCCTACCATGCCCAGCTCTTCTGACTATACTTCTTTGTCTGTTTACTGGGATCCAGGACCTTGGTGATGAGTCAACAACCACCAGGGCTGGGGGTGGTTGGTCTCACACTGAGGCAGGGGTTTTGTCAGAAGCTTCCAATAGGGAATCTCTCCAAGAGAGATTCTCATCCAAGAGGGGTCCTTGGCTCTGAAGACCCATGGCCATGACATATCTTGGATCCTCGTTTCTGAACTCTGAGTCTCAGAGTTCTGTTACAAGAAATTCATTGCCATATTCCTTCTAAAAAGTATCACTCTGTTCCCAGTGGCTGACCCTGTCCCCTGCCAGGTCCATTTTCTCTTTACTGTGTAGCTCTTTGGGGTCTTCTCAAGGAGCCCATCCCACCACGATCTTGCCTCAGCAGTTGGACTGTCTCCCTTGCTCTTGAGTATAGGATCTGTCCCCAGGAAACAGAGCATGTAATCTTCAGCCCAACCAGAGCTGAAGCAGGGGGCTCTGCTCACATGTGTTTTGCGGTCTTTGACTTATTACAAGCTGTGTGCAGCATTTGGATCTCCCAGGGGTGACAAAAACAACAGTGATAGAAATGATCATAGCTAATATTTACTGAGGGGTTTATGGGTTCTAGTCACTGTTCTAAACGCCTTATGTATGTTTTTTCTCTGCCTCTCTTTTATTTATTTATTTATTTATTTTTAGCACGTGAAGGACCTTCCTACTGCCCTTACCCCATACTATCTTTTCTTTCTTACCCAGTTCTTGAAGAGAAATACTGGTCAGAGACTCAGGCCCACGGAGAGCAAGTTAAGGAAAACCCGTTAAGGCTAGTGTACTCCTACCTTTGACTGAATGCAGACATATGAGGGGTATACAAAGACACATAAGATAACTGTCTTCTTTCCCAGTTTTCCTGAAGTTATTTGGGGGTGGGAAGAGGAAGTAATTCAAAACATTATTTTTATATAAAATAAAACTGTATGATGGAATATATTGAAAAATTCAAACAAATTACAGATTTTTTTTACAATTTAAAATGTTTTTGCTTTGAAGTAATCTCAAATTTATAAGTAAGTTTCAGAAAAAGTACACAGAGCTCCCCTATATGCTCTGACCAGATTCCCCAATTATTAACATTTCTGAACTATTTGAGAATAGGTTACAGACATGATGTTCCATTACCCCTTAATACCAAAGTGAGTATTTCCTAATTACAAGTTCCCTTGCCTACATCAGCACAGCACAACCATCCAAACCAGGAAATTAGCTTTGCTCTCTTATTACCCACAAATGAAAATTTAAGATAACATATAAGACATCTATGCACATGACTATTTTAAAATATTAGTTAAGTGATAGAAGGAGACTTCAGAGAGGGTTCATGTTTGCTGGGCAAGACTTGAGGTATTTTAATGAATTCTCCTTTGCCATTACTAGCTCTTCAGGGAAAAGTCTGAGACACATTGCTCTGTGTCTAATTGACCATGAAAACTCAGCCGTGGATGCACCAACTTTGAAGGTAAAGAATAGTGACCCTTACCAATGACAAAATGTTTTGGGATGTCTCAGGCCCACCTGGAGGTCTGCCAAATGTTTTCCTACTGGCTCCAAATAGCAGATGGAAAGTGAAGACCTTTGTTCTTGCAGCATGCCCTTATTCATGTCTCCAACAGCCAGTGGTATGGCCCAAGGACATACTTGACTAGTTTGTAACCAAGTCCTTGGGTACTGTTTTGTTCCCATCTCACTGACACAATATGAACACTCAGGTGAAGGGGATGTGATCCATGGGTGAGAGGCAGAAACGTAAACACACTGGGATTACGGACACTAAGCCCTCTTTTGGATGAACATGCTTTTCTCTCAAGTCTGGGAATCTACCCATTTGCAGATTGATTTGCCAGACCATGGACAGTGAATTTGACTTTGGAAAATGTCTAAGATCCATCTGGGATAATTAATTAGAATTCCAGTTTGGAAATATCACTGGACTGGTTCAAGAAGCCCGAGTACTTACTTAAACTAGCCATGTGATCTTGGATAAGATGTTCAAGTCCTCTGGGTATTATTTTTCTCATTTGCAAAATGGGGAAGTCTGGACTAGATGACTTCTGAGGTCAGTGGATATAATCTCTTGTAACATTTTAATTTTATGAATATCTGCCGAAAGAGCCTAAAGCTTTATAGATGTGTAGATCTGTGTTGTGCTAGATGCCACAGCCTGAGCAGGAGTTTGTACTAATTTATACCAAGTCAGTTTATGCTTTAAATGTGTAAGCTCAACTAAGTTTCTATGTGAAGACCACTGAAAGCAACAGCTATGATGTTTTCCCACTGCAAGCAGTCCACTGGAAAGCAGGGAAGGACCATGAGCCATGGGTCCTGGTGGCAATTTTGAGTGATGGAAGACAAAGTAGGAAAGGGAGCTGAATCTGGGAGTGGGAAGGATGTGAGGGTTCACGATGGAGGCAAGGGCATAGTAAGGTCACCTGAGGACGGACTTAGATGTCAGGAGGGGAAGTTGGAAACGTTACTAGAGCCCTCTCGCCATTAATTACTATGATACATGAACCCTTTAGAGAGGAGCTGGAGTAGAGGACACCCTCAAACATTAGTGGCCCTAAATCCTCTGCCTTCTTTTTACATCTTTTGATTCATGGAGGGTAGAGCTGGGGGGAAAAAAAACAACCCTTAACTAGTCTGAACAGAAATACTCAATGCCCCCCTTTTTCGCTCCAATTGGAGCTTGCCCCCTACCCCCACCCCACTCCAAATTACTTTACCTAGAGCGATAATGCATATTGTCCTTTTTGTCTGAACTTGAGCCTTACTTTATCCACTCTTGGCTAGGGACTACTTTTGGCAAAGGGAGGCTAAGGAGGAGTTTGGCCTCTGTTGAAATCCTTTGTTCTTCTGTCACGGAAGTCAGGCCTGTTCCATCCATCACAGGTTTGGTCACTTGACATTTGACACCGCAGCAATAAATATAAATGATTACACCTCTTGAACTTTTCCTATAGGCCAGCCACTGTACTAAATGCTTAAAATATATTGTCACATTTAATCTACCTGATACTCCTATGAAGTAGGTTACCTTTATATAGATGAGGATTTTCCATCATAATGTGTATTTATGGGTAGACATCTTTCTTTAGTTCTGCTCTTGGGAACTATGGGCTTCATAGTTCTATTATGTTCCATAGCCCTATTAGTGATGTTTTCTCATGCTCCTGTGGTGTCATGGTGCTCCCAGCCTGACTGCTTTGGAGCCCAGCACAGGCAAACATCCTGGCAAGAGCTGTACCTGCTCTTCTTTCTATCTTCCACGGTGGGATGGGGTAGGTGAAGACCTATAAAAGAGAAAATCATGAAAAATAAAAATAATAAAAAAAGAGAAAATAAAAAATCTTCAAAGTCCTTTTGGAAGCTCAGTCATGCAGGAGCATAGAATGGGCCAAGGTTCTCTCAAAGGAAAGGGTCCCTGAATGTTATTGCTATTGGTATGTTTTTTGCTGCCATAGCACTGGGGTTATCTCCTAGAGCCATGGATACTATCAATTGGGTCATTGACACTATGAATCAATGTGTGGAGAAAGGTCCTCATCTCAAGGGCATTTCCTCTTCCCACGTTCTGCCCTTGAGATCGGGACACTTCTCACATTGATTCAACTGGCCTTCTTGTCTATGGGTTATTTGCTTCAGAGTATGGAGACTTTGGGAAACCAGGGTCATGTAAAAGAGTCTCCTACCTAATGTACCTCTGTTCTCACTTATAGGAAGGTGAGTGAGCTCTAGTACCAGTTCTTGCATTATTTTCTTTACTGGACTCCATTTCTTTTCTTTTCTTTTCTTTCTTTCTTTCTTTCTTTCTTTCTTTCTTTCTTTCTTTCTTTCTTTCTCTCTTTCAAGACAGAGCACACACAAGTGAGCAGGTGGGTGGGGCAGAGGGAGAGGAAGAGAGAGAATCTTAAGCAGGTTTCATGCCCAGAGCAGATCCCAGAGCCTGACATGGGGCTCCTTCTCAAGACTCTGAGATCATGACCTGAGAAGAAATCGAGAGTCAGATACTTAACCGACTGAGCCACCCAGGCGCTCCATACTGCTCCTCAGGTCCAGGTTGAAACAATTTTCTTTAAAGGAACCTACACAAGGCTGGGCATGTTCCCCTGCACACCCTCCTCCCCTCTCCAACTCCTACCCCCAGAAACAGAAGGGTTTAGTAACTAATCACCCTCCTTTCCCCATCCTTCAAGTTTCAGGTAGGAATACATCAAGCTTCAGCCAGCCCTGACAATTGGCCCAAGCCTGTTACTTACTTTGGACCTCACATTTGACCTTTGGAAAGCTGAATAACCAAATGCTTATTTCAGCAGTATTCTTGGCATCTATCAACTTGGTTTTGATCAAGGTCATGTGAAGGAGTGGGTGACTGTCAATCAGTTAAAGCATCAGTAATGAGAACAAGGCAAGTCATTTGGATTCATTGTTAATATCTGAATCACTTTCAAATATTAGTGAGCACTCTAGATGTAACCTAAAATGTTGAAATTCTATCAGTCAGTAGAAGTATAAATGCACATTTATTATTTTAAGAAAAATTGTCTAGGGGTACCTGGGTGGCTCAGTCAGTTAAGTGTCTGCCTTTGGCTCAGATCATGATCCTGGAGTACAGGATCAAGCCCTGCTTTTCCCTGTTCAGCAGGGAGTCTGCTTCTCTCTCTGGCCCTCACCCTGTTCAGGTTCTCTCTCTCTCTCTCAAATAAATAAATAAAATCTTAAAAAAAGGAAAAAGAAAAATGCTATAATAATGGTTGTCAAAGCCTATATTATATACAAAACAATGAAGAATTGTCATATAATATAGGAAAATTAGTTGACCTAATATAAAGTAGGAGATAGTGTATTAGCTGGATAACTTTAAAAAGATCCTTATATACTTTTTGATCCAAAAGTATTTATAACAATTTAATAAACAGCATAAGTACTATTACATTCCAGAAATGTTATAAGGCATAACAACAGAAATTGGATTGTATCTTACTTCTATGATTCCATGATATCATAGTCATTATAGAATTGATTGGTATATTTAGATTTATCATGTTAAATAAAATAATTCTTAAGAACTATACATTCATGAGGATTTTTTTTGAGGTATGACTTACATACAGTCAAGTACACAAACCTTAAGCATACAGCTCAAGGGGTTTTCTGACAAAGTAAACATAACCAGACCAAGAAAGAACATTTCCAGCTTACCTCTTACCCCTTCCCAGTTAGTGCTCCCCAGGCTACCATTATTCTGAACTCCATCACCACAAATTACTTTTGAATTACGCTGAAGTTTTAGTTACTTAATATTATTTAGGTAATGAATCTTTCAAGAAAAAGTTTTATTTGGGAATTCTCATTTTGAGAGTACGCAATAAAGCATCATTTTAGCCACTTCAAAATTTTGTGTGGAGGGTGTCTTCAAAACCATAATATCCATAAGAAAAAATATCAATATATATAATTTATATTTATATGTGATAAATATCAATTTATACAATTTATGTGTACACAAATATATAAAAAGTTACAATAAAAAGAATAAAGAAAAATCAATACCCCTAAGTATCTTGCTTTTCTAGGCATCTCAGTCAAAACCATCTATTTAGAGTGATAAATGTAGAGTGTAACGACCATAGGACATGTAGATTTACACTCAGTCATTTGGCATTTGGCTAAATTGTGTATGTAGTGCATCTCTACTTCAAGGCTCATCAATGTATTGGCCCCACATTCTGCTTGAATTGTTCAATGTTCGGCTTTTTCTTTGACCATCCCCTCCCTACCTTCTCTCCTCCTCTCAAACCACTCAGCCCACCTAGCTAGACTTTGCTTGCAGACTTGTCCTCTAGCCTACTCAAGAACATCACTCTAGCAGGAGAAAGCCTTCAAGGAAAACTGAGTGGGGTATTTGCCTTAATCTGCATGCTTGCCAAGGTAAATATGACTAGACTACTATCTGGTGCTACCAGTGATCATTATTAGATGCTCACCAGTGCCACGGGCTGATTAAGGCTACATAGAAGTCATTTCTAAATCTTCCTGCAATCCTGTTGGGTAGGTGGGATTACTCCTGCAATTTCACTGTACGAAAATACAGCCTCAGAGAGGTTCATTCCTTTACTCCAGGTCACAGAGCCAGGAAGACGGAGCCAACCAAGATTTACACCCAATTTTATCTGGCTCCAAACTGGCTCTGACTCTGGTAAGGAGTAAGGGAGCACTGGCGGTGTCCGGGAGGGACAGAAAGAGAACAGACGCCCCAACTCGGAAGGGAAGGTCTACCAAGGTAACTGGACGGTGAAGTAGGACAGGCATGGGGCATCGTGCAGTTTGTCTGGGGCTGAAATAAAGGAAAGAAAGAAGGGGTTAGTGATGGTCAGGACTGCAGGCAATGGAGGTGGGCTGGGACGTGGGCACCTCACAATAGACCCAAGGTAAGGCCATAGCTTCTCCAGTTCTACTCACTAGAGACAGAGCAATGGTGTCTGCAGCCCAGGGGGACTGGGAGATGGCATTTCCACATCTCAAGCCCTCCGGCCTGGGCAGACTGCCAGAATGGGGAGCCAGGGAAGCACCGAGGCAGGACAGATCATTATCAGAGGAAGGAAGCTCTGGCAGCTCCCACCAACCTGTTTGTGACCAGCAGGCTCTGGGCCACGGAAGTCCCTTGAGGTCAAGGGAAATGTGATCCTGGAACAGGGGGATGAAGCTGGGACACTCCCCTGACCCTATGCTTTCAGGCCAAAGGGATCTAGCCAGAGCCAGGCCCGGGGCCCAGGTCGGAAGAGCAGTGGGCTAGAGAAGGGGGAGGCCAATTAGAGAGGCAGAAAGAGAATGAATTAAGATCCCTGGAACACCTCATAAACAGCTCTTGGCTAGAGGGCTAGTGACCTTGATTGCAGCGTACACAGGGCAACTGGCTCCTCAGAGCTCTCAAGGTACATTTCTTCATGGGTGAACTCTTACCCAGTTCTCTTGTCTCTGCCTAGGTCTCTCCTTTTTTGCCCAAGGGACAAGCATAAAGTGCTCTGTATTTAGAGTAAGGAGATCTAGGTTCCAGTCCAGGTTCTGCTACTAACCAATTTGACAAGCTCTTCAATTAATTGCACTTTCTGAAAGCTCCATTTCCTCCCCCAAAGAAAGCCCATTATCCCTCTTGAGTCTATTTCCCAAGGGACTCATGTGGCAACGCCACAAAAAACCTAAAATTTATATAGTATAAACATGGAGTGGTACTTCATTTTCTTTCTTTCCAGCCATCTCTCCACACATAGGTCATGTCACCAGCATGTTAGTTTTGGAAGATTCCTAGTTCAGGAACAGGAACAGCTCTGTCCATAAATTTCATACCCTCCTTGTCCTTTCATTTCCTCCTCTTGTCATGCTGCTGTGAAAAGATGGGTCAGGAGAGAGAGGTCCAAGGCATAAACCAGGGAACCCATACTCCTAGCTTGCTCAGTCCCTCGTTTGGGGTATAAGCTCCTGGGAAAAGAGCCACAGAAAGAAGAAAGGCCATCTCTTCTGGAGCTCAGCCCTCTTAGAAGAGACTGAGCTAGGAAGGGCCCTAAGCTAGGAAGAGGGGGAAGATAACCTGTGGGCATATGAGGAGTGGCCTAGAGGCCCAGAGAGGGAAGTCAGGTATAGCATGAGAGGGAGGAAGGCCGAAAACCTAAAGGGTTTTGTCCAAGTGCACAGGAAGCAGCTTGAATTTCCTAGAGTCCCCTTTCTCAGGAGGGTCACAGGCCACAATGTAAGAAGCAACCTCTCCTCTCTTTGTATCTGCACCCTGGGTACTTCCTTGAGGTGAGTTCACATGCGCTCAGCGAGACGCGGTTTTTGCTCTGGTGGCAGTTTCTTCGACCCTTCTTGCAGGCTACCATGGGGGTGTGATAGGTGGCGGCCACACTGGAGAAGGTTTGATGCAGGAAGGTGTTGAAGGGTTTGCAATGTTTTGTGTACTTGTTGACCTTGCCCATTGCCGTGTTGCATCCCTGGGGCCTGGGCTGCACATGCTGAATTTCAAACTGCAGAGCCGAGGTCATGTTGATGGGCTTGGCCCTGAATGGATCCTTAGGCACCCACAGCCACGGCAGCAAGGGCAGCAGCAGAGGGCAGGACCCTGTTCTGGCAGCTGCCATCTCTTGTAGGGAAGCAGTCGGGATGGAGGGCTGGGGTTGCTGGGGACAGACAGCAGGTGGTGAGAAATTGGTCTTTCTGTCTGTGTTCTATCTCATCACCATTTCTCTCCCCTAAGTCTCCTTCTCCCCTCCCTCTGTGTCCCATCCCTTCTTCCTGCTCTGTTCGCCCTCCTCACCCACTGTGACCACATCCCCCTCACCCCATATGCCTGTCTTCCCCCATCCTGTCCTTTTTGTCTCCTACTCTTTGTTCTATCGCTTCTTCTTCAAGCCCCATCCCCCTTGTGTCCTTCTCCCTTGCTCTGTGTCTCATCCTCTCCATGAAACCACCCCATGTCCCCCTGTATCCCCATTCTATGTCTCCATCCCCCACCTCACTCTCTTCTCTCCCCTCTGTGTGTCCTTATCCTCTCCTCCTTTGTCTGTCACATCGCTCACCTGCATCAGAACCCGTCCCTTCTCTGTCCTTTCTCCTCACCCAGGTCCCTCCACAGTCTGCACCTCCTCGCTGAGTCCTTGCATGGCGGCTCTTGCTCTGGGGCTGAGGATGCCCTTACCTGCCACTGGCCTCAGATCACTTGCCTTTTGACTCTTTAAGAGCTGGCCTGAGCTATGTTGCTTCTGTTTGGGGCAGACTGGGGTGCAGTTGGGGATCAGGAAATTAATCAAACATATGTGCCTTTCCACCTAGATGTCCCAAGTAAGTGGATACCTATGGAGCTAGTGTACCTGCCTGAACAGGTTCAGCAATGAGGAAACGTCACTCCCCACACTCCAAGACTAGATTTGGCCCCTGGCCACATGGTTTCAGTGACTCTACTAAAGCACCGGACCCAGGTGTCGACCCCAAAATGCATTTCGGGGAGAACTGCCATTTATCTCCTATAGACATCTCTGGCTCATGATTCTGGGAAGAGCCAATCCCTGTGGTGGTAAGAATAGCTTTTTCTCTAACCTGAGGTACAGAGGGAATAGCCTCGAATATTGCTTGGTATGATTTCTTGTCATCAGGTCTTCCTGCTTATCTTTTGGAGGAGATGGAGAAGACAGGGAAGCAGACGAATCATCACAGTCCCGATGCCCAGCACCACCCCAACTCAGCTATTCTGCAGTGATTTACTCCTCTGGTCACTCCTCAGTGTCAGGAGTACCAGGTGGCTGAGCAGGGCCACCTGGCTTTACCTGGTGAAGGCTCCCAACACCTTTCATCCTTTACTCTCTTCCTCCCTACTTCATTGAGATTGGCAAAACTTAAACACTGTCCAAATTCGGAAATGCTGTTGGGGGTGGTGGTTGCTTCATTCTGCCTTAGGTCTTGCTCTTGTGTGCCCTGTACCTTGCAGTAGTCATAGGTGTGCGGAGAGCCCGAGTTGGCACTGCTCTGGGGGCTCGAGTGAGCTTGGCATATGGTACTCAGAAGAATCAAGACACTGAGGATTAGAAGTATCATACTCTGTGGGTGGGAAGATCTGGAAAACTGAGATGAACAGTTCTTTTGTTTTCAGGACTCACCTGTAAGTAATAGGTGATCTCAGAACACCAGGTTTAGGTTCACCTATGCAGTCAGTAAACAAATGTTTCTCAAGCGCCTATCATGTGCTGAGGTGCTTGGGATAGATCAGTGAATGAAAGAGACAAAAATCCCTACCTTGGTGGAGCTTACGTTCCATCAGGAGAAAGATAGTGAAAAATAAATATACCCTTTACTTGAAGTGATAACTGCTAAGGACAGGGGTAGGAAAAGAGGGAGGTTGGTAGGCAGTGATTTTTGAATAGGGGCATTAAAGGGGGCCCTTCTGGGACAAGGATGTGAATTTGAGAACGTGAACTTGTGGGGAAGAAGGGTCCACATTGAACAGAGCTGAGAGGCCAGATCGTGGAGAGCCTCTGAGACCAGCAAAGACTGTGACTTTGACTTCACACACACTGGGGAGGGTCCCTGAGGGTGGGAGGCCATTCTAAGCAGAGGAGTGAAAGGCTGTTGTGTAGATTGTAACTGGAGCAAAGCCACAGAGATGGTCTTGAGTGGGCGCCTGGATGGCTCAGTCGGTTACATGTCTGCGTTCGGTTCGGGTCACCATCTCAGGGTTCTGGGATGGACGCCCATGTCATCACGCTCTCTGCTCAGCAGGGAGAAGCAGACTCCCTCTGTGATCTCTCTCGTTTTTGCTCTCTCTCAAATAAATACAAACAATCTTAAAAGTGGTCTGTATTGTAAAGTTTGTGTTCTGGTCCAGAAGTCAGAAGTTTGAGTCGGGAAGAGAAGGTATTCGTTTTTGAGGCCAGAGGACATCGTTTTAGCAGATGGCATACGGAGTATGATTTTTGGAAGAAAAAACGATGTTGGAGGTGGCAAGCACCGCTAGATGGGGACAGAGAACCAGGAGCAAGTTCCCACAGGCCTCTGGCTCCTCAGCTTCTGGGGGAGGCCTTGGCTGTGGGAACAGCATTTGCTGCTTTGTTAAGGACCCTGAATCTCTGCTGTTTGGACTTCAGGATGGAGAATTATGTCTCTGCTGCTGTAGAGATGCAAATGTTTGGAAATAAAATCCATGGTTTAAAGCAGACTGTGGACAGAATGCGGATCAGCACAGGCCTGTCCTGCCCTGGACGAGGAGGCCCGGCTCAGGGGAGGGAGCGGGAGGCCAGGAGCTCATTTGAATTCTTAGCCAGGACTCCTCACTTCTCATTATTCTAGAGTGAGATGTTTCCAAACCACGACTTGCACTGCCCTGTGCTCTTGTGTTTTCCTGTCATTATAATTATCCCAGTTTGCTCTTCAAGCCCATTACCACGAATTCTCCAGAAGCCGGCTTGAGTGGTGTGTGGAAGTCAAACACTACCCTCCTGTCTCAGGCCAAAGGAGAGAGAGAGTAAAGATATAGGTTTGCATACAAAAATTAAAGAGTTGAAACTACCACCTTTACAACTTGAGCTGAAACCCTTATTTTGCCTCAGTATTTGGATAAGGCAGGTGATTTTGTTTATTGATTGATTTGCCCCAACTCTCTTGGTTCCAAGATCCGCTTCACTTTGCACTTGGGAGGATAATTTTGCCAGTTTTCCTTCACCCCGTGTAAGGACTAAGAGGAAAAGATGGAGGAAGGGGGGACAAGATTAGGGAGAACAAAAGAGGTCAGGCATCAGGCCAAGGACTGATCAGAGAGTCTGGCAGAGGGGAAAAGAGAAAAATTAGAAAGGGGTGAGCAAGAAGACAAAATGGGGGGAGAGGACAGGAGGGAAGAAAGGTCCTCTCACAAGCAGCCTCTATCCGGGGAGATGAGGTAGCTATGCTCGCCTCCTCGTTCTATGGCCATAGTCATAGCTCTCGGCCCAATCCCTGCCAGGCTACTCCCATGCCCATGCATGGAAGCGTGCATGCCTGTGCGTGTGCGTGTGTGTGAGTTTAAAGTCACTGGGGCGGGTGTTGTGAAAATCCCAGCAGCGCCAGGTGGACCTCTGCCTGTCTTCCCCACAGGACAACAGCTGCTGCTTCCTCTGGCCTGCACTGAGAGGGGTGAGGGGAGCTGGCTGAGAGGAGGGCCAGGCCTGGACTGGCGCCCACCCTTCAGAGGCCAGCCTCTCTCGCTTCCGGAGTTCCACACAGCCTCTGGATACCGATGGAAAGCCCATGAGAGTTTCCCTCCAAGCAGGAGCAGATCCAAATTCTGTTATCTTAATTTTGTTGCTCCTAGGATAAATAAAGGTAATGGGCTCATTTCTGTAGACAGAGAAAGTGAAACAAACAGCAAGTTGGGGTCAGATGCGAGACTTGCTCTGGGTCTTTGAATTCTCATGACCTTTCCTGGAACAGCTGCGGGTCTGGAGGAGATGGCAGTGACAGAAGGTTGGAATCCTTGGCTCCCAGACCAACTCCTTTAGACAAGCCAGGATGTAGGAGAGGGGGACCTACTCTGGGGTTGAAAGGCCTCATTAGGTCACTCTATCTCAGAAGCCACTGTCAGCTCCCCCTTTATCTACAGAATAAAATTCATATTCCTTAGCCTGATATTCAAGGTCTGCCACAATTTGGCAAACCCATCTTTTGAACTTTGTCTCTGACTTTTCTTCCACTGAGGCGCCTCAATTCTAGCCAAGCTGGTTTTCTCTATTTTCTTAAGCATATCTTTCATAATCCTCTTCATCTCTACTCAACTCTTAACCATACCTTGAGATCCATCCCAAGGTCCCAGGATGACCTGCCCCTCACACAGAAAATTTGCTCCAATCCTCCCAATTCAGAGGGATTTCTTCACCTCTAAATTCCTACAGTTCTGTCTTCAAGATGTATAATTTTCTGTCTTGAATCATTGGTTATTTCTTCATATATATTTATTATTTTCCTTCAACTTAGACTATCTAATCTTCACAAGACACGGATCATCTATATTATACTTCTTTCCCACTTTCCACAGGGATAGCTTAGTGCCACGGATCATCTATATTATACTTCTTTCCCACTTTCCACAGGAATAGCTTAGTGCCTTGCATATAAATGATCCTTAACTGATTCAACTTTTGGGTTAGAAGGCATTCATTATGCCCCTAAATGATCCCAGTCCCAGGTGGGACCACCAGCACCCTCAGCACTGGTTAGCAAATGGAGGATCTGACAGTGCAGCTCCTGGACTTCAATCCTGGGCTTGAGGTGAAGTCATGACAAGAAGGCTGAGCTGCATGAAGCAATCCTTTGGGTTCAAGGACGGCCCAGGAACTGCCCATGACACACTATGCTGGTTGGATCAATTTCGGTTGGACAGGGCAAAAAGTGACCTTGCTGAGATTGTGGTAAGCTCACTCTGGGCAAAATCTTGGGGTTCCCCTCAATCACAGGGAATCACTCCTGCACCGGAAGGTTAGCTATTTGTTCTGGAAATGCTTTTCACTGGGGAGGGAAGGAGGGAGACAATGTGTAGAGGCCTACAGGCAGAGGGTCACCCTTACAAGAAAAACAACTCAAAAACTCTCATTTCAGTGGTGAACATTCAGTGCTCTTCTCGCTGGTAGAAAAACCATCACTACTAAAAGTAAAATCTAACAAAAATATTACTAAGTTCTGGAGATTTGCCAACCCTTTTCAATATATAAGGCATAAGTAATTCTGCCTTTGTTAGGAAATCTGATTCACTTATTAGACCAGGGTTTCTTTTCTTTTTGTTTTTTTAAAGTATATTTATTTATTGTTTTTTTAGTAGTCTCTGCACCAAGCGTGGATCTTGAACTCAAGACCCTGAGATCAAGAGTCGCATGCTCTTCTGACTGAGCCAGCCAGGTGCCCCAGACCAGGGTTTCTCAACCTCAGCACTGTTTACATTTGGTCTAGATAATTCTTTGTTGCCGGAGCTGCCTTGAGCAATGTTGGATGTTCAATGGCATCCCCGGCCTCTACCCACTAGATGCCAGTAGTCCCTCCCAGTTGTGACCACCCCAACATGACCAAATTGCCCACCCTTGCCCCCTTTGAGAACATATGACCTTGAGCAAACTACTCTCTCAAACTTAGCTTCTTCATCTCTAGAGTAATTCTTGTGTATGTAAAGCCCAGTGTAATGAGGCAATAAATTTCACAAATCTCAGGCTTCAGGAACAGATGAAACCATGACAAGGATGTTAGCATGAAAGCAGCAATGCTATGGATCAATCAAAATCCTATCAAAGATAGGATTTTATTTTATTCATTTATTTTTATTTTTATTTTTATTTATTATTTTTTAAAGATTTTATTTATTGATTTGACAGAGAGAGATCACAAGTAGAGAGAGGCAGGCAGAGAGAGAGAAAGAGAGAGAGAGTGAGAAGCAGGCCCCCTGCTGAGCAGAGAGCCCGATTCGGGACTCGATCCCAGGACCCTGAGATCATGACCTGAGCCGAAGGCAGCGGCTTAACCCACTGAGCCACCCAGGCGCCCTATTCATTTATTTTTAAAGATTTTACTTATTTATTTGACAGACAGAGATCACAGGTAGGCAGAGAGAGAGGGGGAAGCAGGCTCCCTGCTGAGCAGAGAGCCCGATGATTCTGGGCTCGATACCAGGACCCTGGGATCATGAGGCAAGCCGAAGGCAGAGGCTTTAACCCACTGAGCCACCCAGGCACCCCAAAGATAGGATTTTAAAGGCCAGGCCACCAAAGTTGCAGTCTGGAACCTGAAGGCCCGTCGCACACAGAGCACCTTTCCTTGTCCTGTGCTCAGGCCTTTCTAACATATGCTTATATGTGCATCTTTCTTGCTGAATTATACATGTAATCTGGACTGGAGCTGTTTTATTTACCTTTATACTGCCCCCAGCATTTGTCATAGTGCTTTTCAGGTGGTATTTAACAACTTTAAAATATTAATTAAAAATTTTTTTTTAAGGTAATCGACACAGGGCATGGCTAGTAATAGAAAGCTTCATGAAGATGAATTTTAAGTCAGGTGTCAGAGGAGGCAGAGCTGGGATGAGGAAGGTCACTCGGATCATCTGGGAAATAAAAGAGGCTTTGCTGGTATTGAGTTGGGGGAAAAAACTAGTTGGTGTAGAACCCAGAAGATCATATCTAATTATACATTGTTTATATACCGTGTGATAGTTGAAAGTCATGTTCATCTTGACCATCTCACTTTCTTCTTGCAGCCTCATGAGGTAAGGAAAGTATTCATCCCATTTCATAGATGAGGAAGCAAAATTTCAGTAAGTTATCTGATGTCAAGTCTTGAACTCTTTCCTCTATGAAGGGCTGTTTCATTTCTGTAACTGTGCGTCCAGGTGGTAGGCGGGGAGCGAATGAAGGAAGAGGAAGAACAGGAGCCTTTCATGAAAAGCCCCTTCCTCTTTTCAGGGAAGCTGCAGCCTTGAGAAAATAGGCAAGAGGAGGCATGCTTTGAGGTGGGAACAATAGTAGACTTCCTCAAAACCAACACTTGAGTCGGCCAGGCTCAGGCAGTTCGTTGCAAGTCTCCCACTCCGTGTTGGCCTACAGACCCAGCCTGAAGGATACAGATGAGCAACCGGGCTGTGTGTGGGCTTCACATTCACTTGTTTGGCTGTGCACACCTCCCAGAGGGTGGTCTTCCAAGCAGAAGCTTTTTAAACAGGATTTCCAGGTTGAGTCTTCACATGAACTAGCTCAGTGGAGGTGATGGGGGTAAGAGCGGTAGGAGGTAAGGAACAGCATCCTGGGTAAAGGAGGTGGCATAAGCCAGGATGAGGTGGAGGGTGGCACAAATGGGGAAACAGTCATGGATGGTGATGTAGTTGGAGACATGGTGGGGGTCGGGTCATGGGGAGTCTTCTGTCCTGTGAGGTGTAGAGCTTTACTGGAGTTGGAGCGCATGTGATGCAGAGAGGGGGGAGCCTGAGCAGGGAAAGACACAGGGATGGAAGGGACAGTTTCAGGAACAGTCTTAGATGTCAGGGCTGCGTGACTAATGGACTCATGATCATATTAAGTACTCACCAGGTGCCAGGCACTGGGCTAAAATCTCTTGATATATATCGTAATGAATTCTAATACTGCTATGATGTATAAAATATTACCCGCATTACTAGATGAAGAAACTGCAACTTACAGTGTTATTTATTTATTTATTTATTTAGCAGACTTTCATTGGTGATACACAGACTGTAAGTAGCAGAGGCAGGATTCAGCCAGGATTTCTGGTCTGACTCAAAAGCCTTGCTCTTGGCCACCTTGCAGCCACTGCCTCCCCACAGGTGGAATAAGGGAGGGGCAAGGATCTAAGATCACAGATTTCTTGCATAGGTAACCAAGGAAATGGGAGACAGACAACACGGGAAAAGAAGCAAATTGTGAGGGGAATGGGTTCAGTGTTGGACTCCAGTTAATGCTGTCAGGAAGAGCAACCCAGTATCCCCAGTGCCTCCAGCACTTTGCACCACCCCCAGACTACACATTGGCCTTGGAACACTTGGGGGTCTTTGTTCGAACTCCGAGCTCCATTCTCCAGGACAAGGATGGCAGGCTGTCCTACGATGAAGCCCAATACCCAGAGAACACGCTGCAGGGAGGCAAGGCGGAGAGGCCTGTGGAAGTCAAGGGCCATGGCTGGCAGGCTCTTTAGTTCTCAAGCAGCAGCAAGTGTTGACAAAGAGAGTTAAGACAAACTCCAATAAGAATCTGATCCTCTGGGCTCAGGGGGCCCACATTTCCTCATGTTCAGGCTGTGCTGTCTAATCCCACCTGATAAATTGGAAGCTTCAGGGTCAACATGCATAGGTTTCTGGGAGTGCTTGGACCCTGATAGGGCCCGAGGTTGTAGGTAAGAGAGTTGGCTAATAGTGTAATTGAGACCAGTGTGGAGGTGATGATGGGGACTGTGGGGGTCCACAATGAGGTCTCTGATTCTCAAGCCAGCACTCTAGTGGGCGGCCCTTGTGTGCATGTGTGGCCTCCGGGTCAAGGGTGAGTGGGATGAGTGGTAGACCCTCTGTTCTCCGAGTGTCAGGAATAAGCAGCACTTTGTTCCTCAGAAACATGACAGTGCTTTCCTTCTCACCTTTCCATAGGAGCATGGCCTACAGACCGGAGAAAACATCAAAGAAAACCCAAGAACTTTGAGCCTTCTGGCAAGGAGCTGGAACTAAGTGTTCTGATGACAGCAGAAAGGAGGAAACCAGACAGCAATGTCTCTATCCTCCCACCCATCCAACCCCCTCAGCACAGCGGCTCCTCAAACTCAGGAAACACTCCCTCCTCCCAGACTGGTCTTTGTCCAGAGAGCCCTTTAGTTCCTTCTCACCTTTGGGCAGCCTTTGGCCTCAGGCAAGAAGAATTCCTGCTCCTGCCCCGCTGGTCTTCCAGCTCCTGTCCTTTCTCCAGAGCAGTCAGAGAATAGTAGTTCAGCCTGTTCCTTCTGTCTGCTTTGCAATTTTTACCAGAAAGTTTGACCAGAGCCAGAGATAATCTGGAAGAGTTGCTCACCCAAGGACTGGTTGGACTTCTTATTCTGTAAGTGTTACAGTTCACAGACTGGGTGAAGCTGAGGCCCCGGGGTGGACGAAAGGAGTTGGGGGAGTGGCTGAAGGTGACCGACCAGCTGGGTGAACTTGGGTAAGTGTCTCCTCTCTCTAGGACCTGGTTTGGATATCTCTGAAGTAGAGCCGAGCTGTTAGGTTATAGGGGAAGGCACATGGGGAAGGATGGGGAAATGCTGGAGGCTCTGGGAAGGGGCAATCTAGCCACTCTAGACCCACCTCTGCTTCTAACCACTTCACTCTACCAGCAGGAGGAATGGCACCATCTGTGGCTCGGCTTGTGTTTCTCCAGTTTGTTCTAGGACCAGCTCTGGTTGAAGACATCAAGGTGCAGATCGCTGTCAGGAACTTCCACCTGTTACACATCGACTATCCCCGGGTTAGCTACCCAAAGGGCTTCCGGGGCTATTGTAATGGTCTCATGGCCTATGTGCGGGGCAGAAAATGGAGTTGGTATTGCCCCCAAATTCATTACATGGTGCATGCCCCCTGGAGAGAAATCAATGGGTTCTGCAAGTACAGTGACAGCTTCTGTGAGAATTACAATGAATACTGCACACTCACAAAGGATGCCATCCCTGTCACGATCTGCTCTCTGGTCTCTAGACAACCGCCCACGAGCTGCCACTATAATGACACCCTAACCAACCAAAGGCTCTACCTGCTCTGTTCTGGGAAGATTGATGCTGAACCGATAGGCATCATTGGCCTCTACTAGGAAAGGAAGGTTTTCTTTCTGAACCACCCCCTACTGCCACTGCACACAAGCCTGACCCTACTCCCTAACTTCTGATCCCTGGTATAAGGCTTCCTTCCTGACTTCACAGACAGGCAGGATCCCCTCCCAAGAGACAAGGAAGGTAGGACAAATGTCTTGAGCTTCAGTCACCATGCAAAGTTATACAGCCTTGTAGCCTCTTTCCAACTTGTTTACCTCCTTTCTTCCCCTACCATCCTCCCTCTCCCACAGACAGTCTTACCCACCCAAGAAGCTGACTGTGTCCAGTTGGCAGTGACTATCCATCCACTGGGCCAGATCCTGAATCCTGGATGGAGGCCCAGAGCCTCAGCTCACACCATGGCAACAGGCACCCAGCTCCATGTCTCAACTTCCCATCCCCACCAGCCTTCTCTTCTTAGCTTTCCCCATCTCCCTTGGGACTCTCCACTCACTCACCTACACAGTAGGTACCTCTAGCTTCAGGGACCTCCCTGAGACCCTTAGACTCATTCTAGCCTCACTTCTTCAGAAACCCTCTTAGTTCCCAGTCTGTTCCTCTCTGTGAAATCATTGATTTTCTCTCCTCATCACCTGTTCTTTCCTTTCTCCTCTACCACAGAGCCCAGGGTAGTCTCTCTCTGACATTCCCAACCTCCTATAGTCACCCTGTCTTCCTTTCTCTGACCCTTTTTCCTTCCACCCTTCTCACTGTGACTCACTGGAGTTTCAAATTACCTTCTCTGACCTGTTCTCCCCAAGATTACCGCATCCCTTTCCTTCCAAAAGCTTCTCCTGATACATCTCCCCACCAAATCCAAGATCTGCCGCTGACAGGACAGAGCTGAGGTGAGCCTGGCTGTAGTCATGGGAGGTTTTAAAACCACATCTGAGTAATGTAAGACATAACCATTGGGTGAAACTGGGGTAAAGGAGGGGTGCCTTGGTGGCTCAGTCATTAAGCATCTGCCTTCCACTCAAGACATGATCCCAGGGTCCTGGGATCAAGCTCTGTGTCGGGCTCCCTGCTCTGTGGGAAGCCTGCTTCTCCCTCTCCCACTCCCACTCCACCTGCTTGTGTGTTCCCTCACTTCCTGGGTCAATCTCTGTCAAATAAATAAATAAAATCTTAAAAAAAAAAGAAACTGGGATGAAGGGTATGTGGGACCTCTCTGTACTATTTTTGCATCTTTCTGTGACTCTATAGTCATTTCAAAATAAAAATATAAAAACACATCCAAATCAGTTCTGATTTAATTCCTTTTTCCTCAGCACACCAGAACTCCTACTCTTGGAGTCCTAGAGGCCACCCACCTCTGGTTGTCTTCCTGGGTTACCCTTAGCAGTGAGTGGGATCTTCTGTTCCATATGTACTGCGATGGAGGTTGGGTGGGGTAAAACTCAATTCTGGGCTCGTTGTTAAAAATAGATTTTTCTCATCCCCCCAGCTCAAACACATTCGTAATAGTAGTCAACCTGAGTAAGTTCTTGGCCCATTTTAGCTAGTTTCTATTTCTCCAACAAAATCTGGACTACAACAGATGAGAAAGGTAGAGGGACAGGGAAGGGTCTGGCTGGTGGTATCAAATCAGGAACCGCTGATTTGGAGATAAGGACAGTGGATACCAGTGATGTATGAAAGCAAAGGCACACATACTTTTTGCTGCCACATCTGGTTTGTCTTTTACCTCCAAATATATTCCTCAGCTCTGATCTTAGAAGCAGTTGTTGAAGGGAATGCTAACTTCTGGCTGGGAGGCATTAGGCTAAGTAGAGAAAGGGTGCAGAACTGGGAACACTGACTTCTTGGGCTCTCTTCTCTCTGCATTGATAGGCCCATCTATCCCTCATCCTGATGGAAGACAAAACACATTGGCTGCTGCACACATGGATATTTATTGTTCCCTAGGGTCCCTGGTGTTTAAGATGCTGGGTTGAGGACAGATTGACCCTAGTTGTTGAGGCTACTTCTTATTTGCTGCTCTTCTTGTCATAGGTGCCAGCACCCTTGTAGCCACTCACATAGCCTGAGTTTTCAGTTGTCTCTTCCCGTCCTGCGATGCCTTTGCCCTTGCCACTCTCGTCAAAGCGCTCCTTGTGGGTGCCCGTGTATTTGCTGGTGTCCGTCAGCCGGCTCACCCCACCCACTGTCGTTGCTTTCTGCAAGCCAGAGGAGGACGGGTCTGATCCCTCTCTCTTTCCCTTTGATGTCACACCCCTTCTCTAAAGACGGCCTCTGATTCTGGTAGTACTCATCACTCTGTTCTACCTTTGGAATAGGGCTGCTTTCTCTAGGGCCCAGATGCAGCCAGGGGTGAGAACTGTGACAAGAGCCATCCACTCATGAGAGTGGAGGAGTTCAGTGTATGGGAACTCATGTGGGTGTGTGTGGATTTTTCTATTTTCAAGGGAATTATTGAGACCAGGCTGCAGCCAGAGGACATCAACCCCAGATCCAATATGCAAGGTTCCTCCTATTGGGAGGGCCCTATTTGAAACCCAGAGTAGAGGGAACTTAAAATAGAGAGGGGACAAATAGGGAACAGATGGTGGGTGAGAGGCAGGAGGTCAGAGATTACAGGTCGGGATCAAGTAGAAGTCCTCTGCACTAAGCATTTCCCCAAAGCCATCTGGACACTTGGGAATGAGTCTAAATTTTACTATTAAAATAGATGTGGACCCCTATCTGGGCAACAGGTTCCTCATCTCTAAACTAGTAGATGATCTCTTAAGTCTGTTCCAATACCAGCAGGGCACCAGAGGCTTCCTGCCTTGTCTCCCTACAGTATTACTAATGGTAGAGGTGAGGGACATTGGAAGGTGAGTTGGGAGGCAGGAGCAGCAGGGATCTAGGGAAATAGGGTCAAGGGTCAGGGATGAAGCATGTCACTCACAGTAACACCAGTGGTAGCTGGATCCTTGCCTTCCATGAGTTTAAAAATGCTCTCCAGAGCTTCGTCTGGTTTCTTGTCCTTGAATCGTTTCTGGCCCAGTTCCTTCATTGCCTCCTGGAACTGTTGAAATGTGATGGTTCGGGCATTCTTGGCCCTGGTCAGTCAGACAGAAACCCAGAACCTCTGGAACATGAACTCATTACTTTCCAAGGTCCAACCCTCCCCTTATTCGAATTGGCCTCTTGACACTGAGTGTCCTGAGGACAGGGCCAAGGACTTAGTAGGTGCTCAGTAGACGCATTACCCATGTTCTATCCCATGGACCCTTCCATGTCCCACTGCCTTGTTGGTTCTACTCACCACCCCTACTTCCCATCTCTGGTCCCTTACTTGACTTTGCTGAATACGATGTCCACATCAGTGGAGGTGACTGTCTTGCCATCCATGATGCCACAGTCTTTGCATAGTTTAGAGAAGTTTTTGTTGTTTATTTCAGTGCCACTGCTCGATGATTCTCCGAAGACAGCAAACCGCTGGAATGTTCTCCCTGCTTCTGATGCCATGATCAACTGGAGGTGGGGGAGGAGAGTAGGGGGGGAGACTTGGGGGTGAAGGAGGAGGGGATGAGAGGACTGAGGAGTAATAAGGATGGGGGTTAAGATAAAATCAGGATCAGTAATAGGAACAAAGTCCCTCTTCCCTGTCCCTCTCTTTCCTCGTCCCCCTCACTCACATCCCACCTACTGTTCCAGCACTAGGGGTACTAGTGTGGCTCCTACGTGCTGAATAATCACCACTACCACCCACTTCCCCACCACGTTTTTGCACCTAAGAGTACCTGGATGGTGTCTGACCCTTCCCAGCCTTTATTTATGTGTGTGCAGGTATGTGGGAGCTGGCTGACTGGAGATACTGTGTGGCAATGGGGAAACAGACAGGGGAGGAGAGGGAAGTTTCTATGACCTCAGCAGTGTTTATGTGACATCATCCCCAGAGACAGCCCTAGTCTTGGTAGAGGGGTCTTTTCATTTCCCCACTTTGCATGCTACATTGAGCAAGCTGCCAACCTTCTGATCTCTCCAGCTGATCAAGTTCTCCCTCATCATTCCAGCCCAGCCTGACCCAGTCTTCTGGGTCCTGGTCAAGTTGGTTTATACTCTGCCCAAAGAGCTGAGAGGAGCCCAGGGAAGGGGTTAATGAAAACAGGTTGGCATAAGTCCAACAGTGCCCTCCTTTTTAGTTTCAAGCCCAAGATAGTGACCGACATGGAGAATCCCAGTGGCTTTGGCAGACCAACCTCAATTAAGAACTTTAAATGACTTCCAGTGTTGGGCCTGACATAGAAAGAGCACAGGCCTTGGAGTATGACAGATCTGGGTGGGTCAAGGTGAGTGAAGTCAGAGTGAGGATGAGTCTCAGACTTCGAAAATCTTCCAGATAAGTTTCTGTGCAGGTCAGGGATTTCTCTTCAACCTGTTCTCTGGCTAGAAGCCATATAGATGGTTGAACTTTAGGAATTCTAAAACAGAGCAACTGGGTTGGTGACTTACCTCCCCTTCCCTTCTATTCAGTCACCAATTTCCGTGAATGTCACTTCCTTATCTAACAAATCCTCTCTTTCCATTCCTATGGCTCCCACGTTTAGTCAAGTTCTTGTTATCTCCTATCTAGTTGATTTCCCTGGCTTCTAAAGGATCTCTCTCCTAGGGGCACCTGGGTGGCTGAGTCAGTTGAGTTGATTAACTCTTGATATCAGGTCAGGTCCTGATCTCAGGGTTGTGGGATTAAGCCTGTTGTTGTGCCCCTCAACACTGTGGGGAGTCTGCTGAAGTTTCTCTCTCCCTCTGCTCCTCTCCGCCCCTAAAAGAAATAAATCTTTAAAAGAAAGAAAGAACGAAAGAGAATCTCTCTCCTAAATGGAATGCCCCCCCATAATTCATCTTTATCACTCACCCATCAGATTAATTTTCATAAAACTATTTTTTATCCAATAATCCTGCTCAAGAACACTCTAAGGATCTCCAGTGCCAAGACTCCGTGCCTGTCATTCAAGGACTTTCATGCTAGGGTCACACTTTTACCAAACAACACCCATCTTTCATCAGTGTTATTCATCTGGGACCATATGGCTTGACAGGCTACCTCAGTGGCAAGAGCATAGCTTTGGAGTGGAATAAATCTGGGTGGGCATTTGAGTTCTGGATTTGTCATTTACAGCACTAGTTGGTTGACCTTGGGCAAGTGACTAAAGCTTCTGTTACAGAAATCTCTGAGCTTCATTCAGTTCCTCACCCGTACTGTGAGGACAATAATAGTACTGTAGGATAGTATATAGGAAGTATCTTGCTCATAGTAGTTAATATTCAATTCTTCAAAGTAACTTGTGTATTTCTGCTCTCAAACTTTCCCTCATGCTCTCTTTCTTACTGGATACAATGTTCCTCTCTCCCACTCAAATACACTGTGGTTGTATTCCTCATGGGGTGGTATACCATGGGAACAAAACCCTTTTCCTCCTCTGAATTATACCAAGATACTGGTTCCTAGCCTGTAGGCTGTAGTCTTCTGGGGAAAGGATTTCTGAATTATTGCAAGGACCCCTGGAATCTATATGTACACAGAACACTGATCATCAACTGAAAAAATAATATGCTTTGCACACATAGATATTACTATATACATAGGTGTTATCATTATCAGAATTCTATACAAACTGGGGTGTCTAGCTGGTTTGGTTAGTAGAGTATGTGACTCTTGATCTTGGGGTTTAAGTTCGAGCCTTACTTTGGATGTAGAGATGACTTAAAAATAAAAATCTTTTAAAAAAAGAATTCTCTACAAATTCTCTACAAACCACAAAAAATTCTCTACAAACTCATTTAAAAGTATTGCTGAATTCATGGTTTGTCTCCATCAGAGGATACTAAAATCAAGTGGGAATGAAAATCTCTGATCTCCCACTTGAGAAGGGTGGGAAATGATTGCCATAGGATTTATTGCCTAAACAATTAATCTTGTAAAAGCATCATTTTTCTTAACATTTCCCATATTTATTACTTCTCCCACCTACTCCACCA